AATTTTAAGCCCCCGGTTCCAGGACTCAAACCATGGGCGGTTACATGTGTGTCCAGCGACATAGCCATTATGCCAACTGCAGGTCCCTGTTGCTCGTAAGCTTTTTTTTTTTTTTGGAGAGATTTTCACTGTAGGGCGCGCGTGTGCTCGCCAGACAGACAGAGAGAGACATAGAGACAGAAAGCGAGAAATCACCCCCCAGGGGGGATGGTCACGCCACAATCCCTTCTCCATTCTCCTCTTGGGATCTTGGGCACACACGCACACGCGCCCTGCGTCAGTCTAAGCCACCGGGTCCGGGACATGAACCGCGGTCGACTACGTGGGAGTCCAGCGACATAGCCATTATGCTAACTGCTGGTTCCCTGGCTCGTAAGCTTTTAATGAGGAAACTTGTTTCGATGTCCTGCGATGCTGCCTGAGTGGCAGGACTAGTAAGTCCTGGGCGTGAGGAATGGAGACAGGTGGCTCTTCTCACCTGTCCGTCTGGTGTCTAAGGGTCCAGAGGGTGAAGGCCTTTAGCATCATAGCCCAGAATCCAGGCCTATGCTTTCGAGACTTGAGGGTTCGAAAGAAATCTGGTTTCTCTCTTTTTAACTTGCTAGAGGGATGTGTGCTCACTGGAGATGAGGGATGAGAAAGCAGCCCCCACGAGGGGTGGCCATGCCAAAATCCTTTCCTCCATGCTCTTGGGATTTGGGGCATGCGTGCATATGAACCTGGTGTATTTTTTAAGCCTCTGTCCAAACCTCAGACTGCATTTGGCCATGTGGGTTCCAGCCACTTTGACCACCATGCCACCAACTGGCCTGGGAAGAAGCCTTCGCTGAGGATGCCAGGAGCAAAGCTCTTGTGCCCAGTGATGCCGCGGGAGCCCAGGGCAGGCACAGCGCACCAGGCGGGGAGCAGCTGTGGGGAATCTGGCCCCTCTCTGCTCCCCTGGTCTCCCTGGCCTTGGGTAACTCGGGCTAAGAGGGACCTTGGAAGGGCAAGGCAGTGTAGGCATCGGCGCCGTGGCAGGGACCGAGGCTTCTGCGCTGGACGAGGAGGGCCCAAGGCGTCCGTGCTGCTGGCCTCACTCCGTGCCGTGGGCTCCTACCCGGAGCTCTCGTGAGCTTAGGGCCTGAGTGCCTTGCGCTACTCTTTATCTATTTTTGTCATGGGGTGCGTGTGCTTGCCAGAGGGGAGAGAGGGAAAGCGAGAAATCACCCCCCTTAGCGGGGATGGCCACGCCACGGTCCTCCTCCCTTTTCGGGGTTTTGGGTGTGCATGCATGGAAGCCTCGTGTGATTTTCAAGCCAAGTCTGAGACTCAAACCGCAGTCAACCACGTGGGAGTTCAGTGCCTTAACTACCACACCACCTGTTGGCACCCAACTAAGACATTTTTTGATAAAAAGATGGTTATTCTTATGGTTCACACCCAAAGACTTAATTTTATCTGTTTCAAAAATGACCTCTTGTTGGGAACCAGCAGTTAGCGTAATGGCTATGTCGCTGGACTCCCACGTAGTCGACCGCGGTTCGTGTCCCGGACCCGGTGGCTTAAAACTCACGCCGGGTGCGTGTGCGTGCGTGCCCAAGATCCCGAGAGGAGAATGGAGGAGAGGGGATTGCGGCGTGACCATCCCCCCTGGGGGGTGATTTCTCGCTTTCTGTCTCTATGTCTCCCTCTGTCTGTCTGGCGAGCGCACGCGCCCTACAGTGAAAATCTCTCAAAAAAAAAAAAAAATGACCTCTTGTTATAGAGTGAGAAATGCTGCCTTTTCTCCCTAGAACAGTATTGGCGGCGGGTCCCCATCACTCCCAGGCTGCCCCGTGACTCCAGGGCGCTTCCGTGTCGCTATTTGCAAATGTGCGTTTCCAGCTTGAAGTATAGGCACGGACGGTGAGCTGAAAGGGGCCTGTTTGTTGAGTCAAGTTCTTGTCACTTTTAAAATTACCTTTTTCTTTTTTTAAAAAGAATTATTCGATGTATTATTTTTTAACTTGCTGTAGTCGTCAGAGAGAGAGGAGGAAGAAAGTGAGAAATCACGCTGCCAGGGCCGGGACTCGAACTGTGGTCGGTGCTCTGGCAGTCCAGCACCCTAACCGCCATGCCACCTTCTGGCCCCCAGTCGTGCTCTTGAGCACACTGGCCCCTGCATGTGGCCGCTTGAACTTCCCACGTGATGGTTCCTGTTGTCTTCCAGGTCGCTGCCGAGGTGCTGCAGAGGATGCTGAGCTGTGAGTGCTGCGGTGTGGCCTGTTGGTGGCGGCTGTGCTTGCTGGCCAGCCTGGTGCAGGCCGCCTTGCTGCCTGGGTGGCTGAGAACCTGCCCTGTGCTTCCGTCCTGACTTTTGGTCTTGGCGTTCTGGGCTGGGAAGCGCCACCATCCTAGCCTAGGGATCCTCGGGGAGTGCGTCGTCCACAGTTGGACCGCCTTCCTGGTGGACCTGCGTGCGCCGAGGGTGCTCAGAGGCCTTGGTGTGCGTGCAGTGGCAGGGGCCAAGAGGCTGGGGGCGGTGGTGTGTGCAGGGCCAGCTGGGCGGTTTCTGGTGGCCGTCGGTACGATGTCCGTCTCCTGTCCCCACCTGTCTTCAGCTGCCCTTGATGCCCTGGCTGCTGGTGTGCAGGAGTCTTCGTCATACAAGGCCGTGAGGGGCTGGTATGTTCCTGGGGACAGGCTGGGCGTGCACGGGCATGGGCTCCCACCTAGGTCGAGACCACCTTCTGAGGGCCGAGGGACTCCTGCGTGCTCTGTCGGGGTGCACAGTGTGGGGAGAGGCTGGCTGGGGCGGGAACACCTGAGGGTCATGTTCTGCCTCCAGACCTCTGCGCCCTGGGGCAGGGGACAGGCCTGAGGGTCTTGCCAACACCGCTTCTCATCACATGTGCTCTAGGGACACCCCGGTCCTGAGGCCTGTCCTCGTGGGCCCCTGCCATGGGCTTTCGAGAACACCCCACTGTCCCTTGCCCTTGCTGTGCGGTCCCACCCCGCTCGTCAGTGTGGACCCGCGGTGGGGTGAGGTGGTGTGGGTGGGGCCAGGCGAGCGCCCCCCATTCCCAGGCCTCCTCAGTCTCCACTCTGGCAGTCCTTCCTGATGACCCACAGTCCCGTGCGGGGTGCCTGTGGAATGCACCACCAACTGGCGCTCTCTCTGGGGCAGTGTGTGGGCTGCTGCCTTCCTGCACGTGTCCCCGCCGGCCCCCACAGACTGGCTCACAGACGTCCTCCCAGGCTGCGGGCTGGGGTCGGGCGCTGTCTGTACAGGGGTCCGGCCAGGGCCCTTCCCTGTGCCCACACCTGGGGAGGGGAGTGCCAGCAGCCACTCGGGTCTCCACTGGGGCACTAACCTCAGGGTCCACCTCACCTGGAGCCCTTCCCTGAGGGTCACCACGCTGGCACCTGGCTGCCACGTGTGAACTGTGGGCTGCGGTGTGCTTGCCTCGTGGTCTGTGGCCACGTGGACCAGGTGATAGTCCTCAGGACGGTTGCTGGCTGGTTCTCTTGACCCATTGTCATGCTGTAAATTTGAACTGCCTCCCCTGCACGCTGGCTTCAGCGCTCCCAGGACCTGCCCTTGAGGTGGGGATGCTGATCTGGCTGCTGGGACCTCCTCCAGTTTTCCCAGCGGGGGAGTCAGTGTTTGGGTGACTCCAGCAGTGAAGTGCCCTCGCTGGGGCAGGCTGCCAGGTGCAGGTGGGCATGGGGTGTCTTGCACGGCCGATAGGCAGGGTTGGGTGGTCCCTGCAGGGACTTCGAGGACCCTGATGACCTCAGCCTGCAGCTCCTGGTTCCTCCACGGACGGTCCAGGGTGCCAGGCCCTTCCCTTCCTGTCCTCTCATGGGACATCGCAGGTGTCAGGGACAGTAATGGCTGCTGTGCTGGCCATCCGTGAGTGCAGGCACTGTCCTAGAGGGACCGTCTCAGATGGTGGGACTGAGAGGCGGGGTGGCAGCTGC